CTCGCTGACGCCTGGGTCACCGCCGGCGTGGGAACGTCCGGGGCCGCGACGGCGCTGGTGCTGACCAGCGCCAGGCCGGCCGACGACATCAGGCAGGCCAGCGCGGCCGCCATGCTCAATGGGCGAAGAGAGAAGGTGTTCATCGACATCCCTTGGGGCACCGGGGCAGGGTCCGGCCGCCCGGCGCGAGAGTGGGTGTCCGTGAGCGAAAAAACAGGCACTTGGATCGCAATCTCTGCACAAGCTCACGAACGGACGGGAACAATGTATGCGAGTCAACCATTCCCAAATTCCGGGATAACGCGATGTCACCCCCCCAACTTCGATATGCGCTGGCGCTCGGTCTTGGCCTGCAGGCGGCGCTGATCACCGGGGGCACGCTGGCCGCCCCACCCGCCTCGCCCCGCCAGATCAGCCTGGAGAGCGACTGCAACGGCTGCCCCGCCGGCACGCGCATCGTGCTGCGGTCCGACGGCCTGGTGCGCTGGGAACAGCTCGGCAAGGCGCGGCTCGGCACCGCCAGCGAATCGCGCGAAGGCCATGTCAGCACTGAAGATTTCGCCGCGGTGGCGGGGCTCTGGCAGGCCCGCCGCCTGAACGAGATGGGCGAGAGCTTTGCCGACCCTGAGATCCAGGACGGCCCGTGGCAACTGCTGCGGCTGGAGCGGACCGACGGCACCGCGCAGCAGATCTTCCGCCGGGGTGATGCCGGCCCCGCCGCGCTGGCAGAAGTCATCGATGCGATCACCCAGACCGCCCACAAAGCAGGGCTCACGCCCCCCCAAGGTAAGGGAGGAGACTGAGGTTTTCACCCCTCGAGGCGGCAAACCCTCGTGTCCAAGCCCCGGCGCCGCGCTAGTCTGCGCCCCAAGAATTCGGGAAATCCGTCACGTTCTGGCGGACCCGCACCACTGCATTCAAGGAGTTCGTCATGTCCTCGACCCCGTTCCGCCTGGCGGCTGCGCTGCTGGCGCTCAGCGCCTGGGCTGCCCCGTCCCTGGCCGCCGGCCCGCAAGTGACCTTCGCGGCCACCCCGAATCCGGCGCAGCAGGGCGGCGTGGTCGACATCGACGTGCTGGTTTCGCAGGTCACCGACCTGTACGCCTACCAGTTCTCGATCACTTTCGACGCGAGCCTGCTGCAGGTCAGCAGCCTGTCGATGGGCAGCTTCCTGTCGGCGGGCGGCACCACCCTGGGCGACACCGGCACCGTCGACAACACCGCCGGCACCATCACCTTCGCCTACAACACGCTCATCGGCGCCCTGCCCGGTGTGAGCGGCAGCGGCACACTGCTGACGCTGCACATGAACGCCATCGGCACCGGCACGAGCGCCCTCGGCTTCGTGCCGGCGGACACGCTGTTCGTGGACAGCAACCTCGCGACGATCGGCCTGACGACCGTCGACAGCAGCGTGCAGGTCGCCACCGCCGTGCCGGAGCCCGAGACCTACCTCATGCTCGCCGCGGGCCTGGCCGGCCTCGGGCTGTGGCGCCGTCGCC